TCACAATTAGAAGATGAAAACAAGTATGCAAATAATAGTCCCGCTACCTTAAATAACCATGTACCGGTATAATTTTCTTTAATGTAATGCAGATCAAAACAACATAGAATCTGAAATTGGAAAACTCCGGGACAATTTAAAACCCAAAGTGAGCAAGCTAAGGGAGCTTGAAGGTAGGCAAGGCAGATTGTTACTTGTGTCCACTATCTTTTTATTAAATACTGTAAAATATTTTATTTTAGCTGGAATTAATTTTTGCTGAAACGACTTTTTGAGTGTTTTGTATGGAATTTATTGTCACTGATTTTTGACGTGTTGAATGTAAATTATAGTAAAAGAGTTATATTTGCTAGATTTATTTTCACTGAATCATTCATTCAGTGAAAATTAATTCCAAGCAAAAATAAAACATTATTATTATTATTGACCTCTTGAGGGCGCTATAATGTGGCATGTTATCTTCTCACTAATGCACAGTTACAATTGTTTTGAGGTGTAGTGAATGTAATATTGTGGATATTGTATCAGTTGTGAATTCATAAATTTTTCATTACAGGTCGACCAGAAGCTAAAGGCTTTAATTTAGAAGCACTATCGCGTGATGAAATCAATGCCGTTCATTACTGACAAGTTACAAGCTGGCTGAACCGATCAAGTTTTAAGCGATTTCAACATGGTTAAACTGACATGGATGTCATTTGAGCATACAAGGGAAATACACGCACTTCTAGAAGAGATTGTGGAGTAACTGTGAACTTCAGTGAACAATATTCCAACAAGAACTATGGTACATTGTGCAGTTGTTTTCATATTTAACATAAGACCACAGTTACATTATGGTTTTATGAACCTGTTTGATGATATGTATTAGACCACAATTCAGACATATGTTTCTACAGGATATTCCATCTATCCAGAATCTCAAGACTATTTTCCAGTCTCCTTTCCATAGATTTGATTAAACAACAATTTTGTTATGGAATTATCAAATCAGTGAAAAACAATTTTGATGATAAATAATACTTATTATACATCTGTCATTGTAACGCCATAAGTAATAGCCCATTGTAATTTTATGGGGTATTTTCATCCTACCGTATCAGGAAATGCGAATTCCAAATATGGAATGATTATGCTCGTACATGTAAGCATCATCTAATAATAAAAACAAACGTGGCTGCCACGTTTTGGATTTTGGCATTCCCATGATGTATCCTCAGAAAAGAAAAGATGTATAATAAGGTTATTACGAGGATACCTCAAAGTATGCACTCAGACAGTACAGAGGTATCCTCGTAATAACCTCATATTATTACTTATTTATATTGCAACATTTGTATACATTGTAGTCATTTTTATTTTTTAATAAAAGAGCATAATAAATTTGATATTTTTTCCATTGGTTTCTTCCTTTACTGGCATTCTGCTTCAACAAATTTATATGAAGGGCATGGTCGTCATGCTGCTTATGCATGATGTATGGGTCTTATAATAAAGACGGCCATTTTGATTGTTGTATATAGCTAATTGTATTGAAAAAGAGACTAAGTATTAAAGAAATACCAGAGATGATTGGAATGCATCAAAGAGCTCTCAGGTGTCAAAATCGGTATTTGGTGCATAATAAAACTCGACTGACTAACGAGCTGTTTAAGAGAGGAGCTGCTGTGAATACTGTTTTTAAGAATCGGAGATTAAGATGTCTCAAAATTAGCTTGGGACATTTTATCCAAAATGGAAACTTGCTGTCATTGAACATTTTTAATTATTGCCATATTTAATGCCACATTTTGGATGTACCACACATGTAGTCATGAGTCCTGCTATGGGGATAATTATCTAGAGAAATATACAGAACTGTTAACACCATACCCAAATTGATCAGACCTCCGCACCACAGACAGGACAAAATGCATCAGCAGAGTAATACCAATATGTGATGTATATAAAAAACAAACATTTTATTCACAAACAAAATCTAAATGTACACAAATCCTCTCAGAAAATTGCTGTGAATATGACTGAAATATGTGTGAAATGTATGTACAGAACATTATATTGCTTTAGTGTGGACAGTTTATTTTACTTTGTAAGGAAACTGTTGGACGAATGCTGCTGTGATTGGATACATTTACACAAACTTTGTAGTATAACATTACTGAAAATAAATAAATAACAACAAATTGCTTAAAAATCATTACTGTATACAGTGAAAAAAGTAGATGCATGTGTAACTCCTTGCAATAAAAGGAATGCACATATGGACATATTTCAGTGGCGTACGAGTCACAAAATGTAATGCATCTGTTAGTATAAAACATAGTTCTTGATAGATGGACTAAAGCATGAGATAGGGCCATCATATGCACTGTGATCCTTGCACTTTTATTGAAATATTGTTTCCCATGCTGCTAACGCTGAGGAGTAAAAGGATTATGTCAACATTTCTAAAACTGAACAACACACATTTTTTGGACTTCTTGAAAAGAGCTTCTCATTGGATGGATAGTTTTCAGAGTTGAGTAATACATAAACACAAAATATAAATAATAATAATATATGGCAAATTATCATATGTCAGTTCTAGGCCAACAAACTACCACATAACAGACTATATAAGGGGCATGTATTCGGGCTGGATAAATTTATTTAAAATGATTGAAATACCAAATATACACTGCTTTCTGATGAATTTTGAAGCATACAACTGCCATGTAACTATTCATATAGTCTGTAACTACAACAAATAGTAGTGAAATAGAGATTGTATATCACAGTTTAATGAGTTGGCTTGATATCTAAGCAAGTCTATTACTATTCCCATTTTTAGAGACATTGCAATCCCAAATTTCACAGTGTAGATTTAAATTAAGTAAATACTCTTTAGGTCCATGATAAAGAATTACTGTAACTAATTTTATGTGGTGAAATGAAAACCACAACGTGCTGTGGAAATAAATCTACTGGCTTTTCATTCTGTTATTTTTTATAGAACAATTTTTAAAAACTTTGTGGTTCCACCACATGCCTGCATATTGCACATGTCATAACAAATCCACAGCTTTTCATACTGGATGGGGATAATACAGCACAGGACGGTAAGGTTGTAAGATGGAGGGGTAAGGTGACTATCAAGTCGACAATAGGTCCAAGTTACATCACTAGTGGTTATATCACATGTAGTCTTGTCATCTCATGGTTTTTTAGTTGCTTGCACTTGTTTTAATTGAGTATACAGCTGTTTTTTTCTGTCGTTATGACAACCTGAAAATATTTTTAAAAAAACATACTTATAGTAGAGCTGCGAAATGATAGAGATGTTTTTTTTGGTATCCAAATAATCAATCCACCTTTTTAATTATGTATGCTCTTTATGACGAAACATTGCTGGGTCACTGAAAGGCCATTCACAACGTTACCAATGAAACCGTCATCCTATGATAAAATGACTATGTATAACCAAACAAAGTTGTTAATGAGATTAATATTGTCTTCATCCATCTATACTGCAACAGCGATTCACTAACAGAGGGTATGGTGCGACTTTTGCAAAAGGTGTATTACCGGTATCTATTTATAGACTATGATACATTTAGCTTGAATCATACTGCTGCCCTCTAGTGTCAATGTACACAATTCTTTTTGTTTACATATCTAGTGCACTTCGGTGGCAATTTATGGAGAAATGATACTGCCCTCTATTGAAATCTAATTATTTTTTTTTCTGCCTCTTCAAATTTCTGCTCCATTGGCTGGTGGATTCGAAAGGATTCATATGAACCCTCTGAAATCTGGAGATTTGTATAATTGTGCCTTTTTTCATTTTATTTTTACAAAGAAACTAACAAATACATTTCCTGATCTGTCCTCAACGAGAAAAATATTTTTTCTTGACAACATTCACAAATTACCTAGGAATGTGTTTGTAGAATACGTAGGTGTACTTATACAATCTACTCCGCCTTCATCTGCAACCACTGGTCCATCATTCCACATTAAATCAAACCCACCTACTCTCTTCTCTTTACCAGTCAATCTATGGAACAGACACAAAATATTACTCTAAACCATTTTACCAGGAAGATAGTCACTCACCAACTTGCGCTTCTTTCAAAGGGGCACGAGTTTTTTTGTGATTCTTTTCTAGCGAAACAAGCATTCAACATCAACGCAAATAAGTTGCGAATTATAGCAGAGCATCCACTGAAATATAAATGTATGCTTTGTGTTGGTGATGATGCATTAGGGTAGAATTTAAACTTGACTGCTTAAAACACATCAGCATATAAAGTACACCCCTTACTTGTTTTCCAAATCTAAGACATGGATCACATCCTCTAACAGTCCAAGCTTCAGATTATAATCTTGCTCATTACTGGCAGTGAGAGATGGCGATGCATTCACTTCTATTAGCCATCTATCAATTAAGACGAGAAAAAAAAAGTTATGGTAAGATCAAACAGGTGTATTTACCCATTTACCCATCCAGCTACTCTCCCCTCTCACTTCCCCTCCCCACCAGGGATTGTGTTTTCATTTCCATGTAGCGAGTCTCATAGAGAAAATGAGCAGGAATTGATAGTGTATTTTATTTTTACAAATGGACCTTTTCTTGTATTAAAAGTAGGATCCCTTTCTAATATTGAGGATCTGGAAAGCAGAATATGAGGGAAAATGCACTCCTTCACCCTAACCTTAGATATTTGTGTATGGTTAAACCTGGCATGTTAATGTCATGCATTGCCATTTTTCACAAATTATTATTCTTTTAAAAATATTTGTTATCAAATCTTTATGTTGGGATATTATGATGATTTGGTCCAAAAATTAAACATTAATGTTAAACATAAAATGTGCAGAAATGATGGTGTTCAAACGATCAAAGTATCTCACAAGGCATAATTTTCATAGTTCTTTATGACACTGGTAAAATTATCAATATTATATTTCTATTGGAGATGCCCTTGTAAAAGAGCAAATACAGTATTCACATATTACATGTACACCTAGATTTATGGCAGAACAAAATTAAATGTGACAATACTGTAAACCTGTCAATTTTTGGCTCATGAATTGTTTGCTATTTCACTATTTGAGAGTGTCTGCAAACACCGTCCCTCAACACCAGTGCTGCTCGGTGCTGCAAAGCTACATTTTGCAAAAGTCACTGAGGGCTTTAAGAGTCACAAAATTACAAAAATCAGTCTCTTACAAAGTTATGGTAGTTTACATTTGAAACTAGTTTTTTTTTTTACTTAGTCGACAGAGCAGAGCTGTTTATATTACTGATTGTTCGTCATCGTCTTGCAGCATCAACTTTATGTTTTTGTACTTTTTTTGAAAACTTCAAGTTCCCTTGCTTTGATACTTGGTATCTATATACCTTGGGAGAACCTCTCTCAGATTTGTTCATTTTGTGTTGATATCTTCAAATCTCTATACTTGTCATTTTTGGTAAAAAGTATTATTTTTGAATTCTTGAAAACGGCTAGTCTGATTGCTTTGATATTTTATATGCAGACACCTTCTTCAGCTTCTAACATATTTTCTTTCATTCATAACGACAAGTTTAATTTTCTAATTTTAGTGATTATTTTTGTTATTTTTGATAAAAAATGCTAATTTCAACTGTCAAACTATAATGTGAACAGTAGAGCTATATCAGTCTACAGACTGCTTGTTTGTGTTGTCAAGCATAATTGTAAAATAATGAGAGGCAAGCCAATTAAATGAGTGAGTTCATCATACTTTAGTCTGACAGAACGTATGATAACATCTATATTTACACTGTGGCATAGCTCTCTTACCTAGGAGATATGCCACACTTAAATTTGTCGGTACTAGTCCGTTCTGAGCAATGCAAGAATTGAGTTTCGTTGACTCTAATTAACGACTGGTTTCAGTCTGATTATGTCAGTTTCTAAAACAACAAACAGAATTTGGTTGCCAAACCTCTGGGATGGGGGAGGGGTTATCACGGCTGTAGTTCCTCTCATACCCCGGTACAAGCACCTCTTCAATATCAGAAACACTTGCTTTAAACTATCAGTAACAATTACATGACAATCCTATTCTCTCTTCAAATAATACAGTAGTATATACACAGTACAGAATACATTTTTTGCATGTTTACAATACTGAAATCAGATACAAGTTTCACATAATTGAGTAAAAAGTGTTTTATACTTCATTTATTATCGGGTCAGATGACAGTTAAATTTAATAGCAATGTTGTCTTTACTGACATTTATTTGTGTAGATTACAAGTGCAAATGTTGAATATAGTGAATTTAGCCTCAGAAACCATATTCCATGTTGGAAACTATATGACAGGGCCTTGTGACTATCTTCCTATCACAATGGCAAGAAGTGCTCTTTGGACATCAACCAGGCCAAAACACAACCACTTGTGGACTGTAACCAAAGATTTTCCAGAATCAGCAAAATTTTTACCACTCTTGGTGAATTTTTTTTTTTACAAAAGAACACGTTTGGATCTCGTAAGTTACATCTAAGTTTTATTCTCACTCATGACCAACACATGATAAACACGAATAAAAAATAATATTTGAAAAAAAAACAAAAAAAAACAGACTATGACTATTTGGAGGAAAAGATAAACAAAAAAAGATGAGAAGATGTTTCTAGCAAAGCAGAAGAGAAACCTGTGTTTAAAATGTTTTTAAAAACTTACGGTTTGATATCTTGATCTATTAGTATATCGTACCCATACAGTTCAAAGCAGTGTTTATCATTGATCATTATTTTCTGTACGCTCTGAAGGCTCTTGATGAATATATCATCCATTAATCGGAATAAATTCTCCACCTGTGATGATGAGGATGGATGATAGCATCAGTAAACATACACTGAATACACAAGTGATAGGGGGAGGGAGAGGAAAACGTTTTATGCAATAGTAATAATCATTCAAACAGCTGTATATTCTTATGATATATCTAACTGACAAGTATTAAGTACTGTAAAGTTACTAATTTTCACTGGGTTTAAATTTTGCTGATTTACCATTTCAGGCATACTCAGTGGGTTTTAAATTCACGGTTTTATCATTTAGATAATGTATTCAATGCAAAATTGTACATATTCCCTGGGTTTTAATTTAGCGCATTTTCCAGTCAGCGAAATAAGCTAAATTAAAACCCAGTGAATAATTAACTCCTTTACAGTACTAGCCACATTTATAGTTTTGGTTGAAAAGGTTACGAGACAAGGCATTTTACATCTCATTTTGGATAGCAGAGATAGCAGAATCATGTTTCCAAGAACGAAATTAAACAATTTAAAAAGTTTTTTTTTTTTTGTGGTAAATGAAAAAGAACAACAATCGAAAGCTGGCTTTTAGCTAGCCACCTTTCTACTTGTTATCTTAGACAGGCCCTCTACATTTTAGAAAGTTACAAAATTTCATTTGAAAAGCAAAATTTCTACAAACCTGTCTAATTTTGAGTGAAAATTACCAGTAAATCACAAAATAACTAACAAAATAATAAATAATCAACAAAAAAATCTAATTTAGACAGGCCCTGTACATTTTAGACAGATATAAAATTTGATTTGACCGGCTAAATTTCTACAAACTTGTCAGCTTTTTATTGAAAATTTCTAGTTTTTACAAAATAACTATAAATAAAGGAATTTTTTGTTAAAACAACTCTTTCTTTTACATTGGCAATTGAAATATATGTTGAGTACCATACATATCACAATAGTAGAGACATTAATCATAATTTTAAGTTTACACAACGTTTGCTAAATTCAGCTGTTCTAACTTTTTTGAAAAAAAAATTTTCACTACCAGTTTTAAATTGTTTACTGTTTTAAAATATTATGACTGCCGTTTTCAAAAATACCACCAAAGACGAATGTGACGTGGAACAGTTATTGCGCCATGTTAGATAGCCCAGCAACCACTAAAAGTATTCATCAGTAACAAATATTCAAAAAACACACATTCATATTTATAACCGTAAAAAAAAAAAACTACTCAAGTCGTAAAAATTAACACCTTATTTTTTTATTACGCAACTATGTATTTAAGAACATCAACAAAACATTGCCTTAATTTGGATTCAGTTTAGGTGTCTTAATTCCTCATTTCAGAACTCAATGAAACAACAAATTTTCACAACCTACATTTTCTATTCCATGCTTTGCTATCAGATACTGTCGCAGTTGTTGCATGGACCATTTGCAGCCTTTTTCGGGATCGTAATCTGGGGCAGTTTTCTGGACAGCGACATTCGTTAAGTGTATGTCTAGTAAAACGACTAGGTTAATGGAAAATACATCATTGTAATTTGACACTCGTGGTGACAGTACTTATCATCCATACTGGTGGTTGCGACATTTAGCGTGAAATATTACTGCTCATTAGTATTTAAAAATAATATGCTAAAACAAATTGTGCAATGGTATGTGTTTATCATAGTGATATAATATTTTCAGACCAAATAACACCAATTATTCACATGGTGCATTGACGCTATCAAACTCACAATAAACGCAACGACGAGTATATTTTGAAAAGATATTGCTAAGAAGGATCATAATACTGTGGTTAATTATCAAAAAAAAAACATTTCTTTGACCAAAGGACCAATTTATGACTGAAAAAAAAAAAAAAAAAATTCATGACTGAACAACTATGAATGAATCATTCTTTATTGTAATGGATACTAGTAATCATTGATTTTTAAAATAAAACAAAAAATCATGCCATTGTTCAATCGATATTAAAAAGAACCAAATCCTCAGAGCCTGTTGAATTCAAATCTCATCAATAGTTACATATACAGTTTGTAACTTTTCAGTATTCTTCACATGGTGGTAAAAAAAGGATACAGGTATCGTCGATAGAATCTAGCGAGAATCTAGAATTCGAAAACCTGGCGAATCCACTTCTATAAATCCAAGCCTTCAATGGGATATACTGTAATAAAAAAAATGTACCATAATAATAGCAGTATTATCGCATAATGTCCTAATTAAGTTAGCAAAAATGAAGAATTGTTTGCGATGAGTAATGAGAATTTACAAAAAGCTGAAAACAATTCTATTTGCTCAGTACATCATTTGAAAAAGTGCTCACTTATTTGTGTCAATGCCCTCTGGAGGGCAAACAGAGAGAATGTTGACTGACTTTTTTTTTAAGCTAATGCAGTGTAATCATCAGGGTAATCGTATTTTGTTGTTGATTTCCTTCCAATGACTACGCCCTAAACAAATCTAGTGTAATCATCAGGGTAAATCTATTTTGTTGTTGATTTCCTTCCAATGAGTACGCCCTAAACAAACAAAAAAGGTAGGGCTGCTTGAAATACAAAAATTACAATTATGACAACCATAAAATGTCATACAAGCATAAATACCGCTTTACAAAGTCTAGTAGATAAATGTATATAGTTTCTGTCTTATCAGCATCACACGCCTTCCAGACATCTTTGGTTATTAAGTCGAGATTAATCGCATTAATAACAAAAAAAATTAAATTTGTTTTCATGGCAGAGAAAAAAAATTGGTGACATAAGGTCATGGTCGAGAATTAATGCGGCCACTTTTCACAGGAGTTGAAGGCAATGCCAGGGACCAGGAATTAAGAAAAGAGGCTATGACTCACCATCCCATGGAGTACATTGTTATAGAAATGATGAGTCTTTTGATTGAATGCCAAAAAACAAACATGATAAACAGAGACAAACACTTTTTAAACATAATATTAATATTAGTTATATTTTGCCATATAACTAGACTTGTATATGGATCAGTATTCAGTCTTGATCTATAGCCCATCTTAATTTAAGAAACCTGACAATGAGGTAGCATGTTTTGTGAGAAATGATGCCAAAGTATGCCACATGTATAAGGTCAATTATTTCTCCCTCAAACCAAAAATTTGTATTTCGATATGAAGAAATATTTTCTTTTTGAAACCAATGCATGAACTTTTCCAGGATCCATTTTTTGTTGTACTAGCTTGCAACTTATTACTGGGTAGTTGTTTTTCATCCGCCCAGAAAACAACATACTGTAAAATACTTTACTTTAGCTGGATTTAATTTTCGCTGAAAAGACATTTTTGGTGTTTTGTATGGAATTTATTTTCACTGATTTTTGACAAGTTGAATGTAAAATATAGGGAAAAGGTATATTCACTAGATTTTATTTTCACTGAATCATTCCTTCAGCGAAAATAGCGAAAATTAATTCCAAGTGAAAATAAAGTATTCCACAGTATATGTAAAGTATCAGGTAAGAAATGTCAAGGAAATAGGAAATTTACAGCGAGTACAAACAAGTTTCGTACAGATAACTTGCAACTTCCCTGGGATAGTACTTTGTTCCAATAACCCCTTCAACTTTACCCAGACGGTTGAAACAACTGTAAATAAGATTTTTTACGAAACTCCCTTTGTATAGTCACAACAATGTTGCAATATGAAAACTTAGCTATAGTATGTATCTAGACAAAATTTAAATACTGTAGAATACTTTATTTTCGCTTGAAATGTATTTTTGCTGAAGGGATGATTCCGTGAAAATAAAATCCAGCGAATATACTTTTTTCCCTATATTTCACATTAAACTCATCAAAAATCAGTGAAAATAAATTCCATAAAAAATGACCAAAAGGCCTTTTCAGCGAAAATAAAGTATTCCACAGTAGTCCAAAATCAGGAGGCACCAGGGGAAGATTGTCACAAAATGTAACAAATCATATTCATAACATTAGATCATTTTCTGTATTGCAATATTCATAAGAGCTTTTCTAAAGAGTTTGCTAACTACTCGTATGAATATGCTGTAAGGGATTTGCATTTCACTTTTACGCACATGTACATATCTCCTTTAGTTATGCATGTAAGAATGCTCTTGTTTTTGTAGAAGACAATTTTCCTGCAACACCCCACAGTATCATTCAGCATACCAGATCTAATACAACCACTATACAATAAATGCTATAGATAGCAAGCCTGCTTAACATATGTAAAAAATAGTATAATGAATGTACTGAGGCATGTAATAACCAATCAACAGTGTACCTCATTCAGTAGACACTTCCTGAGATCTTCTACTTTTAGTTTTCAGTAATGTTGTAACCAACACTTAACAGTTCTAAAGTTTGAAGTCAGTAGAATGAGTTTTGTACTTGTAGTGTAAGTTTATGCTATTTTCGCAATCATAGCTGTTCTAACAAACATATACCTACAGAAGTAACCATGACGTAAACTCGGATATCAAACTTCTTTCCACCAATTAGATAAGGCCTGTCTAAATATCGCTGTACGATGTACGTTTCGGGGGCTTCTTTCTCCTCTTGCTTGTCATCTCGTCTTGTGTACGTATCATTCTATAAAACATAATAAAGGCAGGGTATGTACCTGCTTGTTACACAAATCTACAACAGCGCATGCCTGCATTCATTTCGAAGCTACGAGATTCAGGTATATTCAGAACTAAAATGATGACACTAATTACAGTTGTTAGTACTTCCATTCTCACTAGAAACAAAGCATTTGGGGTAAAATTCTGAAACGTATGTTGACTACCGGTATCATCTGAAGAGGACTGGAAGCTCCATCCAGGATTCACTTATTTCCTCGTCATGTTTTTTACAAAAAAACAACGTTAGGCAACACTGGCTCAAATTGCTGGATTGGTGCATTTAATTATCACCATTTTCTGTATTTCTCAGTTTGGGAGTAAAAAATGTAAATGTACAAAATCTGCCATTGATTCAAACTGACATGCCACTCGCCTAATCTATTTTTTTTGAGGAAATTGGGATAAGATTTAACCATGATCGTATATTGAATTGTCTACAGTATAAACACAATACATCTTGGCAAGGATCCAGTTATAGCATTTTAGTTCTTAAAAGGAACAGTTTTAGTGGTAAGTTACACCCAGGAGACGTTTCTTTTTAGCAACCTGTCATAAGAATTTCAATAAAATACAGTAAAGTAAATGCAAAAGTTTCAACCAAACCCAAATCATGCATATCACACACAAGCATGCATATTAGTATACCCATCATTTTATCCACATTTATAAATAATTCATTGTTAGGCGCATTTGGGTTATTTTAACTGACATGAAAAAGAGGAAGGGGGGGGGGGGGGTAAGTAACAGGAGGGTGATGTTTTATTATGGTTGTTGTTATGGTGATTAACAGATGATGCATCCTGATCATAATGTAGTAGTCTACTCATCATAGGTACAAAAACACTTGACAATATTTTTCATTTAAATTAGTTCTCACTACTGGGGTGTTATCAATACCATTCTACTGTTAGATACTGAATCAGAAAATTATCTAAAAAGTGAAAACAGTTTTCATAAAAGTGTCATTTAATTTTGAAAATATTTCACGACTGAAAAAGGACCCTTCAGTTCAAGATATACTGTTTCTCATGCAATGGATGCAAAAATGTGAGATATGAAGAAATACCCCTTTGTCATAGAGACTGATGATAACAATTTGATGAATAAAAAGTCTGCTAATAATTTCAATATACTGTATTTATACTCAATATTGTCTTGACTTCAATTTTTTTATGCTAATACCCTTATATCGCCTCAGCTAGAGTACAAATAAAGACAAATTCTGGGCCAGTATATTTTCATTTCTGAGCAGACTAATTCTACTTTAATTCAGGATCGTTAGCACTGAGCTTGTTAATTACTTAATTACCTGTAAATAATATTAAAAAAAGCCAACAAATACCCATGCAGCATGCTCAAACCATACAACACCATGTGGCCAGCCAGCCACCATACAAGGCAATGCTGAGAACAGTATTTTTTTTTTTAGTAATCTGAGAAATATTAATAAAAAGCAAAAGTTAAAAAAAGCATTGAAAGGCAATTCAAGCAGACAGTTCACTGCATTGCCACACCACACACCTTTACTACCTTTTTCCAATCAGTTATATCTTTAAGTTTCCTGAAAAGAAAAATGCCTTTGCCTTGAGATTTTGCGACGGGTTTCATAATCCATATGGTGCCCGGGTTCCTCTTGAATTCCTCAACAAATATGTGATATTCAGACTGTGAAGAGATAAGGTGGGAATTGATTTACTGTCAAATTTAACACATGCATGTGATATGGCATCCACAATGACCCGAACAACCATCGACAACAGCAGCTTTCAAAATTTAATTTTATTAGCAATGGCAACCAAGCTCAAACTGTTGGTGGCCAACTGGAAAATTGTTGGTCACCACAAATGGACCATGGATACCTGCCTGCTTGATAAATTTTCTTTCACATAAAATTATTGACATCCTATTTCTCTCCATCATTTTAAAAAAGGATACTGTAAATGCTATAAATAAATTATTGGGTTTCAGTTTTGCTATTATTGCAGATAAGTAAAATCAGCAAAATATATCTACGTGAAAATGTATAAACAAAAATAGTATTGTTTCACTGGTAAGTTTCACTGGCAAACCCAAACCCAGTGAATATGTTCACAATATAAGTATAGTGAAACTAAATGCCAGGGAAAAATAAATGGTTTTACAGTAGCAGTGCAATAGATCAAAGCAAACATCAAAGAACAGCTAATGCACACACAATCACTTATAATTTTTATTTATTTTGAGGAAACTACTAGCAGTTTGTGGTGTGGAAGTAGAGCATCATAAATACAAGGAAACTGTTCTGTTTTTTCACTAGGATATCCTGATTACTGTCAAAACTGTCAATTAATTATATCCGCAAATAATCCATGTATCATTATAACATCATTTTTGTTTGTCCCTTGTGGCTATTCTTTGAACATTATCAGGAAGACTTATAATTTCAACTTCCTGATGCGTGAAATGTACATTGTGTATCTGTAATATTTAATAGGAAGAGACTATGAGTTCAGTCATCAGATGTCAGTCTTAACCAAATAGGAAAACCTTGGGGGTCAAACATAGTTGAATGCTACTACCGATAGATCATGAACAATAGGCAAGACTTGCTGTCATATTGCATTTGATCTATTAAACAAAGTTTTTTTTTTATTCAGTTAATCAAAACCAAAACACATTTGACATGAAACACAAAAATAACGACGTACATGTATAAACAAACCAGAGTATCGGTAAGAGTATGTAAATCAGTTTGCAATTATAAAATCAAATTATTATTTATCGCACTATTCATTTTAATGGAAATTTTTTCATTTTACCAAATTTCTACAATTAGCAATATGTTTTTCTATCTTTAAAACATTTACCACATTTATTAAATTCACAAAAAGTTGAAATCATCCCAATTTGCCTAGCATGGTATATACCATACATTGATTAGTAAATAGACAAATGTATCGGTAGTTCACAATTTTGCATCACCCAAAAGCAACTGCTGAGTCTCCTGGCATGTAATTAAAATGACAGAAATCGGTCCCAATTATTCAATACTTGAGTCCAAATGTCGCCTGTAATAAATTGGCAATGTATAAACAGGTGTATTAAGGTGTTTTTTTTTAAAAAGTACATAAAGAAAAACCAAAGATAATTATTGTCACTATCAATTTTGATACCTTGCCTACTGAAAGCTCCAAAAAAATATCAAAATCAGTGGGGAAACAAAAGTCAACAGACAATGTGTAATGAAGACCTGATTTTATAGTAATGGAAAATTACGTCCATCTGCTCAAACAATTAAATTAAAGAAACAATTAAGTACTAATAAATTTACGAAATGTTGCACCAACATTTTGGCAGGATAAATGAGCATTCAAAACGGAGTCAAACAAACTGCAAAGATCAGTAGAAAGCAGAAAAATACCCTGACTTGAACTCTGGTACTCGAGGGAACCCAATTTCAAGACCAAAATTTCTAAAAATGCCTTGGATTGAATGAAGTAAAGAAGGGCATTCAGGTAGAGCATCAATTGTCTCCATGAATTTGAGCTCTAGTAAGATCATTAGAACTATAGAATGTTTAGTTCAGATAACATGTAGTCCTTTGCATTTTAAGAAAATGTCTACATAATATATACTTACAGGAAGCTCAAAGGAAGTTGGAAAAAAATCACACTTTGATGCTTCCAGCTTCCCACTTTCTCTCTCCAGCTGCTTTCGAAATCTTTTCAAGTTCTTCACCATCAAGTTTTTTCTTGTGAGCTGGAAAAAGGATTAATAAATGTTCAATTCGAACAGTTAATTCCTCCCTGTGTTTAAAGAGTTACTTTAATAGAAATGAAAATAATTCATAATGAGCAAAGAATATCTATATTTATATGCATTTATACAGCTATCTTGTGTAACAGTTAGTCTGCAATGAAACTAACATGTTTCTGAATTCTGAATATTTGTTTTGCATTTATGAAAAATTATTATTCAATGTGGAATATATTTCAAAGCAAGTTCATCACTGAGCAGAAATCAACATGAGAACACACATGATATGCAATACCATGTTACTGTTCTGAAGGAGCTTCAACAGAAGAACACATTAATTTGCCATAATGTCATTATAATATGAAGATGGTGACACAGCCCTGTTATGTAATCCCAAACATGGAATGTAGTTTCTGTGGTAAAATGTATGTACCATAAGCATTAGCATTCTCATATTGATTTCAAACCATTATTCAAAGCGGGGTTTTCAAAAATAATTAATAAACCCAAAAGTACAAATTTGAAGAAATATTCACTTGGTTTAATTTTTGCAGAATGTGCTGTTCCTGTTTGTATCAGGAAGGTTATGACATACTAAAAGTTTATCACAAAGTGTCAAAGTAAGTTCATGTTCAATTGTAATGAAGTTTATCACATACAAACATGTAAATCACCCAATATACATATGCAAATCAATCAGTCATAAGTCATGATGAAAAGATGAGTTGGTCAAAGCTACCGATATATTCGTAATGAAGTTTATCACATACAAACATGTAAATCACCCAATATACATATGCAAATCAATCAGTCATAAGTCATGATGAAAAGATGAGTTGGTCAATGCTACTGATATATTGGTACATTTGAAGACAAATCAAGTTAACACTAGTTGAATATAATATACTGGTACAATTCTTTCTTGATAGGATATGATCATCTACTAAACACTAGTGCTACATAAAACCAAAGACACATCCTTATTGTTGATTTTTTGAATATCTTTACGAAAACTAATTTCAGAATGTAAACTCAATTTTCATCAAAACAACAAATCAAGACAACTGAAATGTATCTTAATTTCGGAGCCAGCAAACATAATTTAAGTCAATTTTAAGTTTTTACTCAAATATTTTGGCTATTTTTGTTCCAATCTTCTGTTCAGGAAAGTGCAGACTATAAACAAGACTATTTGCGAAAAAAAAAGGAAACTGGTGGTGCAAAGGTCAAGCCTCCACTTACATGTATAGTATTGAAAGTTCCCTTTTTTTTAAGTTCACATTTGTCTGAAATTCTTACCTCATAGTGATTCCTAAAATGATTTATTTTGACATGTTCTTCTAGATAGCAATGGTCAAAATATTCTCTCATCCATCCCACATCTGCCCAAAAAAAATCCCAATCACCTTCACTGCAATGTAAAGAGATACCAATGTTCAAATGTTCATTATGATAGCTGCCAGGGAAATAGTAAAGCTTGGATGTAGTGGAACACATAAGGACATGTTGTGTACTATCGTTTGTTTTTAGTGGATTATAATAATAATTTTATTACACCGTAGTTAAAACTTAACAATTCATTTTAGACAGAAATGTAATTATATTGTGAATGTGGCATGGTAAGTAGCGTGTCTGGCTGCAGTATCAAGGTGATTGCCATGATCATGAGTTTGAATCTTCTGTTTTATGTTCTAATATTTGTCTGTTTGTACAATGTATTTACAAGGCTTGAATTGGCCAATAGGCAGATGACACTCTGACAGACTGACACATTCTACCTTCCGGAAAGTCTCAGATGTATTAAGGCAGCAAGTTATTGACTCAAAAATAACATTCCCTGTTATTCACAAGATTCTCTATCACAGGCTTGCTGGAAATATATGCATTGCCAAATTACAGAAACTTATTTAATTAAAAATCAATTCATTATAAGATACAGTGGTTTGTTGCTATTCAACTTTCAATGGTGAGCACTTGTTTTCTATTTAGGGTTGGACCTTTTACAATTCGGGAAGGTCAAAAAGTAGGCATTACTTTTCAATATTGATGACTCATAAGCAACATCAATATATATTAAAATCTATTGTTGTTCCCAGATAATCAATATAAAAATGTTTATTTTTCTCACAAAATAAGAAAGTCAAATATGAATTTTCAGTGGTTCATACTTTACGGTTTTCTATAAACAAAAAATGCACTACTAATGACATGCCAGGAATTTCATTGAGATACTGAAATTCTACAATTTTCCCCATCAATACATTTTGTGTGTTTTTATGTTCTTTGTAAAATATTCAAAAATTATTTTGTGAAAAGTGACAAAAGCTGAATTAAACATTCAATGCTATCATGGGTTAAGTCACTTAATCACAAAAATGTCTAGAGAAAAAATTGAACACATGGTATTATTATCCTAAATCATTTGAAACTTCCAGAGAAATAATATCTTACTCTCGAACTTCTTGCCATCCTTTGGCCTTAAGCACATCATAAATAGTATTCTGAAGTCCACACTTGAACCGTATCACCCTATCACTGTGAAGATCAAATAGGAAAACAAACTATTACATTTTAACACATAAAATATTTCATGAAATAATGCTTTTATCAAAAAATCACTCTTTTCTATCTTCCTGTCAATATTTTCTTGGTGCTGTTCAAGGTTTCCATCTCTGTCAAAACTGATATACAGTTAACGTTTTTTTTTAATTAATGTCTGGAATTCTGTTGTGTATTATTTGAAATGGTATAGAATACAGGTGCAGAGTAGTCTCACAATAGAAGCACAATTACGTAATACATGATACTATACTAGTTCTTGTTTAGAATTCAAGTTGACAAATAGGTTCTTACCCAATGCCCCTTTTTCGATCAGGTCTTGAGTAAAGTGGATTCTACAAAATAAAAGGTGCAGTAAAATGCAGTGATTTTATTATGTTTTCCACATAGTTCTACCCCCTATTTTCATGTGCAGTTACATTTTCTTTTTGGATTTGATGAAGACAATTTTTACAGATGCCAAAATTATGCAATCATGGTTATGAATTATTAAAAATTACACTGTAGAGAACCCACACCAAGTAACATTTTCTCCTTGTTAGTCCCCGTTCGGACGCAGTCCGAAAACGGGGACTTATGTTTTGCCCTGTGTGCGTCCGTGCGTCCGTGATCACCTGTATCTTGAACATGCATGGACCGATTAAGTTCAAACTTCACTCATACATCACACCTTATATGGGACATATGCACATGCATTTTTTTCATGATCCGATTAACGATAGCCGAATAGCGGCCATTTTAAGGCCGAAAATGCATCAAAATCGCACATTTTCACCATTCCGGACCCGGATCTCAGTTATGCATGGACGGATTTTGTTCAAATTTGGTACATACATTAAACATAATAGGACCTTGATGCACGTCATTTTTTTTTTTTGGATCGGGTTCGAAATGGCCGACTGGCAGCCATTTTGTTTTAAAGAATTCAGTTCTGGATCCGTATCCGAGACATGTCTGGATTGATCAAGTTCAAACTTCACACACACAAGGTACATCATGTCACAAATATGTATGTGCATTTGTTTCATGATCTCATTAACGATAGCCGAATAGCG